TTCTAAAACCCTTGACTTTTAATAAGGTCGTGCATCATTTGATTTTAATTACAGATTTTTTTTTTTATCCCTTAAATTTGACTAAAAATGATGTGATTTACAAAGCAAACAAGCCAGTTAAACAAAGCTAATTAAATTCACTAGAGACAGCCTTGCTTTTCCCCTCAGTGAGTGTTTATTTCAGCTCCCAGTGCTCTGATAGCTCCTGACAGCTTGCTGGGACACAAGAAAGAAGTAGGTCAGGGTAAGCCGGAATCAGCAACAGAGGATCCCATTAGACAGGCTTGTAGGGTAATACAGAGATCGAGGAAGTGTGTGATGTAGTGACAGTGTTAGAGACACATAACAAACAGCCTGAGGACAGCCTCCAGCAGAACTGGTACATTTATCTTCTCTGTGTTATAATGACCCCTCATACAGCTTATCCAGTTTGTGATTTCTCATACGGGAGGTGCTGTACAAACCTCACGACAAAAACACGCTGATGGTTTGCGAGCCGCAGCCGAGCCAGAGCCAGCGCTGGCTGAGCTCCCCTCCTGCCCAGCCCCTGCCTTGGGGTCCGGAGCCCGGCAGCTCGCAGGGGCCAGCAGCCTCCACGCACGCAGGATCTGTCCCCTCACTTCAGCTGGGAATGCAGCGAGGAATCGCGCTGCACGCACAGATCAAAGGAGAATGAGACGGTTTTCTTCTAACCCGCTTCTAAAACATTACACTGATGATCACGGTTGAGGCGCCTACGCCGGACCTGAAAATACCAAGCTCCCCCATAGCAAGAAAAGCTGCTGGGGCAGTTGGGGAGCGCAGCAAACCTGCGTTAAGGGGCAAAAAATACGTCTGCTTTTTACTCGGCTGTTGGCTGAGGGCTCCCCATGAATCCACCACCCGGTTCCTACGTCCATCCGACCTGGCAGGAGGGTTGGGTGTAACTCCCCATACCACAGCATCACTGCCTTTGGGAGCAGCTACTGGCAGACAAGAGAGGCTAAGGAACCTGTGGTTTCTGCTGGCTTTTGTGGCTGGGATCACTGCGTAATGAAGAAACATCAGCAGAACCAGGGAGGAGAACAAAACCCAAGTGATCAATGTAAAATACAAAATGTTTTGTGTTTCTACTACTGCATCAGGGGTTTTTTTAGTGAAAAGTGTATTTTCACTGGATATGTCTATACACCTGGACACTTGCTAATGAAACTCTTCCCTCCCGAAAGCAAGGATAAGTGTATTTTTTGTTAAGTGCCTTGGCAATAAGAGCAGAAAACACAGCATCACCAACTCTGCAGTGTAATATTAAATCAGAGGCAAGTGGAACAGCAGAGCTCTAACACTCCTTGTTCTCACGACTACTGCTCACGCCATTAAAAGTTCAAAGCCTCTCCCACCGTCTCCGGCAGCGCTGTACATACCCCAAACATTTCAATTATGAGAGTCGATTCCTCAGGGTTGCACACACAGCCAGGAGATTCTCCCCAACTCCGAACTGTGCGGCTTACATTAAAAAGAGAGCTTGAGCGTGCGCTCTCTCAGAAAATAGGTACGTTTGACAGGAACAATTTAAACTGCCATGGGCATAAACAAACACAAATGGAGAATGTTGTTTTATTTTGTTCAGAGCTCGAAACGTTCACTTTGCTTAGAGACCTCTCCAGCATCCACTTGACTTGAAGTACCTGAGTGACTCGGTTTTCAGAAATGATGGAGTCTGTACAGATAAAGCAGCCCTGCGTTATTTCAGCCTAATTTTTGTCGCTCCGACTCCGTTTTCATGTTTATTCAATAAGAGTGCATCGCGTTCAGCATTTTATCCCCTTCTTTGTTTCTGGTGACAAGTCTTTCCACAATGCAATCCATCTCCTGTGCTCGCAGCGCTTCCTGCTCTTCAGGGGCTCACGCTATTTGGTCGCTTGCACCCACCCATTACAACACAACACAACACAACACAACACAGCCCTTTCCTGCGATTTTTACTTAAGCAGACGGCTCCCCTGCGTTCACAGAGGTTTTGTCTGAGTGTCGCCTATCTGAGCATCGAGGTAAAATCCCTACCCCGCTAAAAGTCCTCGAGAAAAACACGCGTGTCCTAACGAAAATATGCATTAAGATAAAAGCATTAAAATAAAGGAAGACAATAAGAACGATCAGAGCAGCACTGCCTGCAAGGAAGGAAGGAAGCTTTTAACAGCATTAAAATATAAAATTGATTTGTACACATATTTGATAAAAATCAATACAATTAGCAAGTAACTGAATACTAGAAAGGGAAATTGATTGCTCGAGGGCCCAGAGGACTCAGGGCAATCAGTCCATTCTTCTAGCTCCTCCACTCTTAATAAAAATTTACTTTTTCATAATCCTGCCTGAACTCTTTGCCCATTAATAACGCTGCTAAATAGCTCTTCTTTTAGCACTATTATTGCAGACCTGCTTGAATTACATCTAGAGGCAGTTTCGAGTGGCATGTCCTGGCCATTCTGCTATCTGCAGCGCAAACCTCCAAGCAACAGCATAAAAGAAACCGGCTAATGAACGGGAGCACAGGAACACTTGAGAAGAGCTTATAAAATTAAGTACCAAAGTTTAAATAAACGGATTACCATAGAATTGATTTGCTACGTCAATTTGGTCAGCTTTTGCTGATACATCATTCCTTCCTCAAAGGAGAAGAGGCACCGTTTCGAAACAACTAATTAAACATTTTGAACCATGGCCTTACGAGGGGAGCAGGGCTGCACTGCTCTGCTCTCCTGCCTCCCTTCTCTCACCGAGTGATCCCTCACCACAGTGTAAAATCATTATTCCATGTGAAACAGGAGAACAAATGTATAGTGAAATCTAGACTAAATGAAGTGGCTTCAACAGCCGCCCTCTCTGATCAGACTCCAGTTTCAGGCAAGGGCATCTTCTCTTCCTTCATTAAGGTGTGACTGGAGGAACCAAAATGCAGTTGCTCTTCCTCCCGGCTCGGCCTCCCCAGGTGAGGATTTCCATCCCAGTCAGGCGGCTGCACAATCTGATAGAGGGTGCACACAACTCGTACGCATCTACAGACGAGGTTTCTCTTTCAAAAGCTCAGATGACTTCTCCGATAAGAACTTTCTCAAATGTTTTGTCCACTGACTCATCTTGATAGAAAGCTCTTTAAACCAAAAGCTACCTTTGGGCCCTAACCTGAGCTGAATAAAAGTCATCTATGCACCTCATCATGTTCAGTCCAGCAAAACCTCTTTTACTCCAGAAATCTCAACACTTAAGTCTCCAGTGCTCCAGCTGGACCGGTGACTAAACTGGGCCATTTTATCAGCCTAAGAAAGAGTCCATGGATGCTTTGCAACCCAAGCAGCAGTCTGTGGTAATGCCACTGTAAGGGTGGATGCGGGACTGCAGTGCCAAGGGAGGTGAACAGGCATCACCCAGCAGGGCACCGGCATCAGTGCCACAGATGCGGCTGCAACATCTGCTAAGTTGTTGCACGAAATTCTCACCGTGTTACACAGAATCACAGAATCGCTCGGTTGGAAAAGCCCTCTGAGATCATCACGTCCAACCGTGCCTGTCTACCCCCTAAACCATATCCTTAAGTATCTTGTCTACCCGCTCTTTAAACACATCCAGGCCTGTTCCAGCTTCTTCCTCAAAAGTTTGTCCTGCTGCTGCTTCTTACAAAGAAGAGACATTAGTCTGGACACAGAAACAGAAACCAGAAATTACAGTTTCAGAGCTGGCCTTCTTTGTAGCCATGACCAAACTACTTGAATCTCTTTGCTGCAGTTTCCCCTTTATTAATGAAGCAGAGACAGTAAAACTTATTTCACCTAACTCATGCATCTTTCGTGAAGACGAAATGCTTGTTCTGTGTAAAGTACTTGGAAGATTAAAGGCATCAAGTCAATCTCAGTCATAGTCACCACATCTACCAACAGGATCTCCAGTACGCAGATTTGGATCCGTGTTTGAAGAGTCTGGCTTTGTGCAATTCAGGAACTATGCTTTCCTGGAGTAGCAGAGCTGAATTAAAGCTAATCAAGAATTCCCGTGTTAATTGTCCTTCTAGCCTTCAGAAGATCATAAGAAGGACGATGCTCCCATTTCAAAAGACAGCACAGTGCCACAGAATGTATTACCTCAAACTGGCTGAAGCCCATTGGACTGGATGATCTTTTGAGGTCCCTTCCAATCCCTAACGTTCTGTGATTCTGTGAGAAAACGATAGGAGTTAATACACCGACATTCATCTTAGAGCACTTGTAAATCAACTCCTATTCAATAAAGAGATGCCGAGTGACTCATTCTCTCTACTTGTGAAAAAGCTCTCAGAGAGAACCAAAGAATCTTTCACTTTCCTGGTTGCCTTTGTAAACACTGAATTATATCTCCCGACTTCAGAGAACCTACAGTGCTTCAGAGCCAGCTGTAAAAGTGAACACTGCTGTCTTAGGTTGGCAGAGCCCAAGGCCACCTTAAGACCCCAAATTTCTGTTAAAGGAGAGATGGGAAAAACAGCAGCAGCTCAGCTGATCTGAACCAGCTTTGCAGGCACAGCAAGGCACACTGATCTTCTGCAGATGTGCCCGTGGGGCTGGCCCGGGAGAGGCTGGCAGTGCTGCTCTGGGCACTTCTGCTGTTCGACACGGGTCAAGTGCCAGATAATTTACTTAACATCTTAAGCAACTTCTGCAACTCAAACTTAGCTCACGTAACCATAGTAGGATCGCCAGGTGAAAGTGGTCTTCACTATTTCTGCCTGAACCACGGGATGTACACGAGAAGGACAGCAGCACAGACACACCTTGACTTCTGTCCCAGTGTCAGCGCTGGCTGAAAGCCCAGCAGCATGGACCGTGGCCGCACACCCAACAGCAGTTGTGTGCTTCGGTCAGCTGTGCGGTAGCTGGGCTGCCCAAAGAAAAATCCTGCTAACAAAATAAAGCAAACAAACACACACCCGTGATCCCAGGGCAATCAGAGCTGTGCAGCCCCAGCGCCGTGCCTGCTCCCTGCCGCACCTCTGCCTGCCTCTGAAGAGGTGACACGGGGTGAGTTTCCAGGAGCATCTCTTCACCGCTGCTAAGAGAGTCCAGTTTCTCCAGTGGAGCAACCACGACACAGGTATGAAAGCAACAGTACAGGGGACAAAAACAAGAGTTGCAAACTTAAAAAAGACAACAGAGAGAAAGCAAGCACTGTCTGTAAGTCAGCATTGAAGGAGCACAGGATGAGGCTGCACACAGCAAACACTGCTTGAGTGGAAGCAATAGGAGCTGCTGGACCTGGCAGACCAGGCACATGAGGGATGCCAGCCCTCCCAAGGTGGGCTTGAACCTGCTGTGCCTCCATCCTCCTCCCCTCAAGATACCTGCCTGGCTTCCTCGGCTCTCCCTCTGCCTCCTTGGCTTTGTCCTCTCTTCAGTCCCAGCCCGTCCAAGCCTGTCCCAGCCCGTCCCTGCTCTCTCTCCCCTACCATTACCTCCTCGTACTTTGGATCTCTTCACATCTACACCCCCAGATCTCTGCTTCTCCATCGGCGGTTCGGGCAGCACAAGCCCGGCTTGTGCCTGCGGTGCTGGTCCAGCTCCTCGCTGGGATGCAGCCGTACGCATAAACAAACAAATTACACTGCAGACACAGAGCTATGCTCGAAAAGGAAATGACCACTGGATGTTATTGCTTAACCTTTCTTAATAATGAACATGTATTTCTTGAAAATGTATGCCACATAATCCTTTTGGCATTGCAAACATGTGCAACAGAAGGGTAATTGAAGTTAGTCAAGCCCTAACCTCCACATGAAGTTTAACAGTTTGCTTCACTACATTTTGGGTAGCAGATGGCAAAGCAGTCAATGGTACATTTTCTGCCTATACCTGTTTCTGTTTCGGGTGTGAATACCAAAGAAGGGACATCCACTGGACTAGCTGGAAAGTGGATGACCCTTTTAAATCCTGAAATGGTAGTCAAATAGTTACCAAAATAGCTGCTCAAAAGGGAGGACTTGGGGACAGCCAGAATTGGTCATGTACCCACTAGTTTGCCGTTACTGCCATTCTTAGATATGATAAAATTAAAGCTACAGGCTGACTTCCAGTAATTAATACGCGCTTCATCTGCACAAGTACCAACACCCAAAATCAGCTCCATGCTGGTGAGCGGTAGGGCTTTTCTTACACAACAGCACTTGACACTGTTGCTGTAGCTCACAGTATTTCTACGCACGCTGTCCTTACAAATGGCTCCAGGCTGTTTGTAGCCTGGCATGCAGGCATCAGAAAGCAGTGCAAGCGGCTAATTTGGATTTCAAGCTGCCTCTGTGGACAGCCACTCAAATGTTTGATTTCTCGATAGATTTTTGGGGGCGAGGGTAGGGGGAGAGAAGAGCTGACAAGAATTTGTAGATGATGTGTAGAGCCAGGGCGGTTTTAAAGAAAGGACAATTGAGAGTGCCCAAGTCAAGATTTTCCCAGGTATCTTAGAGTGACTGGGAAGCAAGGGGGTGAGCGATAAACAGTCAAGATTTTCATAATTCATAACCAACAGAAGACACACACTTCTCCTTCAACACACAGAGCGCACCCCCCAGCATGCAATTAATGGTGGTGCGTACAGTGAGCACACTTACACTGACTGCCTGGTCCAACAGCCACGGCTGCCCCCGAGCATTTCTGGAAGTAGAATTTCTGCTGCAGCACCGTGCAGAAATGTTTCCCATTTATTAACTTGTTTGGTTTTGATTGTTGGATCGGTTCCCCATTCCCAAGGCTCTCCGATTTATTCTTTTAGCTTAACACTATGAAGTAATCAAATCACTGCTTTACAGCTGACAGACCGTAGAAGCCCTGCAGGGGAGGGGAGAGTGGCATCACAAGAAACATCTACGTTTTCTCTTACATCCTTCGCACTTGCCCTAAACTTTAGATTTGACTCATCTGTATCTCTGGAATTCAAGCATATTGAACTTTAACTGACATGAGAAGTTATTCGAGGATGCAGGACCTTTCACTTGAAATTAAGGCTGATCTACCTTCTGGGATCAGGGGCCAAGATTCACTTCGCATAAAGACTAAAAAGCCCGAACGTGCTCTCCTTCTGCTTCGAGTCAAACACAAGTGTTGCTGCAACCAAGAAAACATCCTTCCAACGCTACGTAAAGTTCAAACCAAGCAATCCATAAATAAGAGGAGGAGATGAGATGGAGGATTCACACATGCCGCTGTGCCCTTCCATCAAATGTGTAGAATAGGGAAGAACAGGAAGACAAAGGAGATGGCTCCAGGAGTCAAGATTAATATGGAAACTGAGAAAAAGGGCACGTCTTTGGTTAGACTTTGACTGTGTCTGTTCAGTACAGTTTATTTTCAGCTTTACGCAAGGCGATATTAGAAAACGCTCAGCACACGACCCTTGATGTGGAAGACAAAGAGAATTTTTTTTATTTAGACAAATTCCAATGTCTTTGTCCAATGTTACCCAATGCAAAATTAGAAGGAAATTAGTACTTGCACGGTCCTGTGTGTTTAAAAATAATTTGAATGACCCACTGCTTCAAGTATGGAAAGGGTCCTCTGTTATTAAAGTACAAACATTTTCATTTTAGACTGCACTGACAGGGTAAAGCTCGAAGAAAATCCCCAACATTTTATTTTTTTAATCAAGGAAAACAGCAAAACAAAACTTCATGGAGCCTGTGATCAAAACATCCTACAGAGTTTGGACTTAATACACCAACAATGACAAGCATTTCAGTGCAGTAGCATCCGAACTAGATATTTACTGCTTGGTAGTGAGTAACCCTTTGAAAAGGGAGGAACAAAAATTCCTTTTTAATGAGTCACCATTTGGCAGTCAAGAGATCAAAACCTTTTGCCTGTATTTCTGACTGCAGGATTGTATATACTTGTTTTTTTCAACCCGTGTGATTCTATTTAAATCAACACAAGTTAATTAAAAAATAAGTTAGAGGAACAGGAAAAGTGAAGTCCTTAAAAGTCCCTGACCATCAGCACGATCTACCTATTGGGTTGCTGAAATACTGGAAGAATTCAGAAATTAATAATATAATTATCATTAAACCAGTGAAAATGTTTACATACTAAATGTTACATAGTGATGTACAGGGAAAAAGCTTCCTGTGTGTGAATGGGACTGTGCGTGACAAATGCATTCATACAATATTCATTTGTTTACCTTTGCCCAAAACTTAACCCGTGAAGATCTGTGACTGAGAATGAAAGATTAAAGCATATCCCTGAGAGTAGATGCCACTTCTGACTGTAAGTGGCCCTGCTCTGGCAGGGGTTGGACTGGATGATCTTTTGAGGTCCCTTCCAACTCCCAACATTCTGTGATCCTGGGATTCTGGGATCAAACTCCAAAGTTTCAGCAAAAAGGAGGATACTATGATGTGATGTCAGGGGAAAAAAATAAATCCACCTGGATTGGCATTATAGCCAAAGCAAAGAAATAAAAGTTTCATTCACGCTGAGGGGGTCTTAGAGTAAGATGTACCTGTCTTTATTTTAAATATAATTTCCAACCACATGAAAAGTCCCCAAAGGCCTCAGCTAGAAACAAGCAGTTATGGTATACATAATATTTAACTAGTTAACCTTCACACTACGAATCCCTTAAGGGAAAGCACCACAGCTGACAGTTGGAAAAATAAGAACCTAGGAACTATTTACTCCAAAAATTGCCTCCACCTCTGGAGGCCTGTGGGGCTACAGATATTCAGACACTCTGAAAAAATCTGACAGTTTTGAAATTAGAGTAGGCATCATTTGGGTTTGGCTTCTACCTCAGGAGATCTCCAGATTTTTATATGAAAACTCATACCCACAAAAATTTGAGCAGGGACCTACAAGTCACTCCACACAGCGATCAAACAGCCATCAGCAAAAGCATCTCCATACGTTACTGTCAGCTCGCTGAACCATCCCGTCTCCTACATCAGTTAATCCTAATTTATGTTCAATTTACTTGTAGATTGGAAGTTATTAAAGTAAATAACTACGGTAACTGGTTACCGTTTCAGAACTGAGAGAACTGAAGAAACAATCCAGAGAAATAACCTGATCTACTACTGTAAAGAGAATCAATCACCCATCTCCTGCCATTAGGCCCTTTGGCAATCCTGTGTCACCGTTGTCACGAGCCTCGATAACGCCGCCACATTAATTCTCCTTTTGAGAAAGGGACTACAAGATCTGACTCCGTATCTGCGACCTGCGTGACCCTGGGGAATCCTGGGGAAAGTTTCCCATCAGATGCAGTTACAGTTTTGACTGAAGGAGAATTACCGCATTGTGCCCATGCTTTATAACTTGAATGCATGACGCAAAAACACACAACCGATCTTCTCATTCTACTAGAAAGAAATCATCAGCTCATAAGCAACGATTTTGCAGATCCAACCCAATGTGAGAAATCCCATTTTCCGAGTCATTTCAACAAGCCTGCTCAGAAGTGATGGACGTGGGGCAGAAAAAAATGGACAGCTACTGGAAATTTCTCATGTAACACCAGCGCTTCTTTTAAACACATTTATCCCAACTGCAGGTAGGCTGCATTTCCCAATCCACGCCTTCCCAATTCAAAGGGAAAAAACAAAACCCTGTGTTTTAAGTATTACGGAATTCAGAACCGGAAAAGAAGAAAGTCATCCTATGTTTCATAACAGGAACAGACTCCCTGCCTTTCTCCAAGACTACACACCGCTCTCAGCCCAACACGAACCGCGGCACCGCTGATGTCAGTGTGAGAGGCAGGAGAGGACATATGGCCTTTTGTACTGTTCCCAAGATGCAGCGTGTTAAATAAATAAATAAATAAATAACTCATTATCCAGGCTGGAAGAAACCCAAGCCATCCTGAATGTTTGTATATTGCAATCTGCAAGACCTTTATAGAAAAAAAACAACAAACTACTCTCAGACACCTAATCCTGAGCACAAATGGTGGATGGGAGTGAAGCGGAAATCACGCATTATTTTGAGGAAAATGTGCATTATTTGGGGGAAACTTTTGCTGCCACGCTCATTGGAGTGCTTCTCTGTAACTAGATATCATTTCTATTACTGTGGCTATGACTAACGAGTTAACAACACTATTTACACTAGTACTGTTGTATCATTAGAAACAACAAGATTATGTACTTTAATTCTAATGCCAGCACAATTATTTTAACACCAAGTGTGTCAGATCTGACTCTATACCCCCTAAATTAATTTCAGAGTAGTGGCTAAATAAAATGACATACTTCTTTGTGCTTTTGTTATAACACGCTCATGTGCAGCAAACTGTGAAGAAAATGTAGTAATTAGAGGTTAAATTAATCCCTGACAGACAGGCAGCTTAGTAAAGCTGGGCCCTCTTCAGAAAACATAGCATAAAGCTTGCCAGTCTTTCAGAATTAGGCACAAAGAACAGGCGAGATTGGCAAGCCCCTCACCGCTGCAATCCAAGCAAAGACTGGGAACGCTGAAACGTCGGAGCGAGTCTTGGAGCAGCCAATGCGAGCAGGCAGCTC